TATGCTGCGCACTGTGACTCACAGCCATGGTCCCGGGTCAGCTATGACTTTGTGTTAAAGTAATAATGCACAACTCTATCCTTTCAACAGAGAGACAGAGAGAGAGAGAGAGAGAGAGAGAGAGAGAGAGAGAGAGAGAGAGAGAGAGAGAGATAAATACCTGCAGTTAAAAAAAAAACCCTCCGACAGCCCAAGCCCATCTGTTCTCTGATTGGATAGATAAATTTATGACATTGACCAATCAGCTGAAAGGAAGAAAAATAGGGTCAAAATTCGTACTTGTAACTTGAAACTTGAGTCCACACACAAATCTTTTTACACATACAAAACTGATTTACAAGTACAAAATATTTATGACCACAATTTGAGCCCATATGCTAATCCTTTATGGAATTCAAATAATATTTTATTTTCTAGAAATACTTTTTTGACTTCCTGTTTCTATGTTTCACAGCTTGCTGAGCTGAACTGGTCCTCTAAACAACATCACTCGACCACAAAGAAATGTTTTCAAACCGTCTTATTGTTACTACAGCTGCATTAAAACACGCTCTCACTCTCAATGTAACAAAAACAAACAGTAGTAAAAGTACAAAGACATTTCTATGATGATGAATGGATTAAACTAATTTACATGAGACAGTAGTGAGGCTTTAGCGCCACCCAGCGATTATACAAATCCTTTACATGTCCGATAAACTTCTTGTTTGTTAGCACAGCTTTAAAAACATTTCATTTCTCTGAGCTATCTATTTCCACTCTAACGCGACAAGATCGCAGAATCTTGTCATGAAACATTTAAACTTCTTATATTAAAATTTTTATATAAAACCATTAAAACAACTAATGTTCAGGGAAACTAGTTTCACTGCCGACGTGATGATGAGGCAGACAAAACTACAAGCACAAAGTAAAATCTTCCGAAATAAAAGCATTGAATTCAAAATAACAGCTCTAGAGGACAAAGTGGTCTGCAGGTGAACCTCACTGAGTGAATAAAGGAACATGTTCTCGGTGCTTCTCGACACATCTCGTCTGAGTAAACTCTGATCAATAACTGACCCTAGCTATGCTTTCTAACTCCGATATCACTTCCTGTTACCTCCTCTGCAGGTGAGTGTACCTTCATCATGGGGCCGCTGGCCGCCGGCTGGCCTTCTGGGCTCCTTTCCGCCTCACATTTCTTCTTCTGTGGTGGAGTCTGCTGCTCAGCCTTCTGGACCTCAGGCGGTTTGCTGGTCCTGCGGGGTCGGTCCGACGGGTTCAAGCCAAGGATGAGTGCCACTTTCTCGATCTCGCTGCGTTTCTTCTCGGCAGCCTCGTGCTCCTTGCGGAGGTTGGAGATCTGGGCCATGACCTCCTCCTGCAGGTGGCTGATCTCCTGCAGCAGAGGGTCCTTGTGGCCATCCTTCTCCCGGCGCTTCTTCCTCAGCAGCTCGCCTGAAAAACATTGCAGGGCAAATGTCAAAGCGCCATCAGTGACGTTCCATCGATCAGAAGGCGTCTCCTGCAGCTCCATGTTTTCATGTCACACCTAAAACAACAAACACCAAATGAAACTTTCTACAGTGGCAGGTTTCTGAAATGATCAGCTGTGCACATGTTGAATAAAAACTAATAAAAAAAAGTCCCAGAGGTGATCCCTGAGGATCTCCAGTCTCATTTCAGCTGAGAAAAGTGTCTGATTTTATACTTCATTAATAAACTTAAAACCAACACCAGCTTTATAGGACATCCCACCACATGCTGGCTGGGATTGCTGCGTGGGCGGAGCATAAATCACCTGTAACACAGTAACACACCTTGCTGCTTCCTGAGTCTCTCCAGCTCCTTCATCAGATACTCCTTCTTCTTCATCCTGATCTCTCGCTCCTGCTTCAGCTTCTCTCTCTCTTCTAGAACCTGAACAAACCAACACAGTCACAGGTGTGAACATCCAATCAGCTGAATCTGAGTCAGAGGCTCCACCCAAATCTACATCTTTCCTTCTCGGAATGATCCACATCTCAGTTTTTCAGGTGGAGCCAAAGGATGTGGAGGCATAAACTTCCTTCTGACGTAAATGCAAAGACATGGGAAGAAGCGATGGAGGCTGACCTTCTGTTTCTGGCTCTCGTTGTTCTGCTCCTCAGACACTCTCGCAGCTTTGGCGCTCCCCTTCTCTGCGTGTTGGGTGGAGCTCTTCACCAAACCTGAGGATGGACAGACACATTTATTTACACCGACTGACCCACAAGCTGCTCATCCTGCTCTCGCTGGTCGAGGAATCCAGTTTATTCTTCCAGCGCTCACCAGTTTTGTACACTGGATTCAACTGTGGCCAACCATGTGTTACACTGATTATGGAGGCGGGTAAAAATAGTAACAACACATTTTAAAACTACCTGAATGTTTATGACTGAATGACTCGTTTCTATGTGCAAACATTTGTGTAGTGCACATTTCAGCCTTCTCAACCTATTAAGTAACACAGCTAATAAAAATGGCTAAGTACTCTGAAGCAAACAAACTGTATATAAAAACGGAAGTAGCTTCTTAAAGCTGCATTGTTTTTAAGCAGGGGACAATCATTGGATAATGAACATTTAATCACAACTTGTTGACCAATGAGGATGCAGAGTCTCTGTGACAAATCAGTAACTGTTCAATAGTCAGCTGTGTCTCCTACATGCTGTTTTGCAGAGGTGGCAGGGGGAGAAGTGAGAGGACAAACACTACAGCAACCTACACACAAGGATCCACAAGAGGAAGGGGCAGGGCCGCCTGGTTAGCGGTGAGGAAAACATCCCGCAAATAATCGTCACGCTCAGACTAAATGTGATAAGAGTTCTTTAAAAGGAGACTGACCTTTGACCCCTGGCTCAGGGGTATAATCCTGTTTGTAGGGTAGTGTGGGAGGGTACTCCTCAGCAAGTGTAGGAGGAGGCATCCTCATGTTTGGGGGTGGATATGTGGGGGGCCACTGCTGGGGTACGAAGGGCAAGTAATTCCCATACTGACTGTACACAGGTGGCGGGTAGCTGGGGTGTATCATGGCGGGGACCTGCGAAGGGGGGTAGGTGGGGATGGGTACACCTGGATGAGGGGGGTGGCAGCTTGGCTCTGGAGTCTGACAGGGCGGCGCTGCCGTGTTGCTCCACTCGCCTTTCTCCTCTTTAATGTCACGGTCTTGGTGAGATTTGAGCGAAGCTGAGCTCTTCCTGCGGTCATCCTCGTCGCTGCTCCAGCCGGCGCCAGTGGCACCGCGTCCGTGGCTCCGGCTCCGGCTGGTGCTGCTAGAGCTGCCACTGTGGCTTCGTGACCTACGGCCCTGCCGGCTGCCATCAGAGCTGTCGGAGGAGTACCGTCTGCGCCGCGTGGGCGTCTTTGTAGGGGGTTTCTTCCCGTGGAGACGCTCTTTGGTCCTGGCGGCCATCTTGGTAATTTCGGCCACTCCAAGGTCCAGACCGATGGTTTTAAGCAGATCCTGGATCTTCTCGTACTCTTCTAGTGCCTGGCGCTCGCTCTCCTCCAGGGGCTCGTTCCCCGGTGGGTGAGCGGGGTTCGACACCTGGGCTGTGGTGTTGTGGTCGGGGCTGATGGCGGGCCGGCTCACATAACTGTCCGTGGAGTGAGGGGGCTGAAGGGTACATCCGTGTGTCTGAGCAGAGACCAGTTTCTGCTGTGGGTAGTCTCCATACAGCGCCTCCTCAGTTACGTCTCCATACAAGTCTAGACTGTGGGTCAAGACTGGCTCTGGCACCGGCGGTGGTTTGGGTTCCTCCAAATCGCCATAGAGGAATCTCTCCTCGTCGTCAATGTCGTCCAGCACCTTCTCCTGAGTCCTGGGCCCCGGCGTTGTCATCCCCAGCAGGCTGAGGATTTCTTTGATCTCAGCGTCGAGGCCAGCACGGCGAGCCATCTGTGGATCAGACCGCAGCTCCGCAAGCATGGACGCCACCATGCGAGGGTCAGCACCTTTGACGGCCTGCAGGAGCTGATCGGCCAGTCGGGACATGGAGCCATCCTGAGTTTGAGGAGAGTCCGTGCTCTGTAACAGAAATACTATGATGGTCATTTTGAGGAACTCCGCCGTGGTCATCTCTGCTTTTTGGCTAACAGAAGCATGTATCGAAACACTGACTGAAACACTGTCTGCAAACTTACCCTGACGGATGGCGAGTCCTCGGAGCTGCGTTTCTTCAGGATGGACTTTGTTGGTAACGTGAGCAGCTCCTCAAGTTCCTTCCTGCGGCGAGCCATTTCTAGCTCCTTAAACCCTTTATTCAAATCTGTGGCACCACTTCTGCTGCGGCTGCTTGAGCTGCTGCTTGCACTGCGACTGCGGCTCCTCTGACGGCTCTTACTGCGAGCATAGCTCGTCCCTTTGCTGTAGCTTCGTCCTCGACTCCTTCCTCTGGATCGAGACCTGGATCTGGACCTAGATTTAGACCTGCTCCGGGGGCGACTCTTGCTGCGGCCCCGACTCTTGGCTCTGCTCCGGTCTGGACTGCGGCTCTGGCTCTTGGCCCTGCTCTTGGCCCTGCTCCGGTCCGGACTGCGGCTTCGGCCCCGGCTCTTGGCCCGGCTCCGTTTCGGACTGCGACTCTGGCTACGGGGACGGCTCTTGCTCCTTCCAAGACTCCTGGCCCGACTCCGGTCGGGACTACGGCTGCGAGGTTTGCTCCGGCCCCGACTTTGCTCGTACTCCCGTCTACATGGAGACAAAAACATGAAGTAGCTAAACCTCACTGGCAGGGTTTTAATAGTTTTGCAATTTTCATTAGTTTTTAATTTTATTTAGTTTTGACTTCAGATTTTCAATTTTATATCAGTTTTAATTAGTTTTTACCAATTGTTTGCTAGTTTAGTTTAGTTTTTATTTTTTTGAAAATCCTTAGTTTCAGTTATAGTTTTAGTTGTTTGCAATAATTAAGTGCAACAAAATCCCAGTTTCATCATATCAGTCATGCTCTTCTGCTCATCCTTGGGTATGTTGCTATTCCAGCTACCAAACCCTGCACAGGTCGCCTGTGGGCTAACACGCAGAGACAGACAACTCACATTCCCACCTATGGGTTCTTTAAATAAATAAATAAATGAATTAAGGCAGATGAACAACCATTGATACCAGGCAACTATAAAATGTATATCTTGGCCCCAATGAGACTATTAACTCTTGCAGCACCGGGTGTTCGTAATTTTGGTTCAAGTGAATTGATAAACCTTTTGAAGGCAGTTGACTCACACAGTTATGCAGATATCCCCGTCCTGTTGTCTCGGGATGCATCACGCTGCCTTGCCTGGGGTTAGCTTCTGTTTTCTGGGGATGAGG